GTGTGTGTGTGTGTGTGTGTGTGTGTGGTTCTGTTCAGGCAATAATGACATGTGTTTTTTGTTAATAGGCCAGCATCAGTTCCTGTTTCTTTGCTTCCCGTATGGAAGTACGGTACAAAAATGTGTGTCTTGTAATTGTGGGTCGGCAGGAAGTCTTCCGTAAAACTTTGCTTTCAAATCATGCTGGTTAATTACAACCATTACTAATACTTTCTTTTTTTATTTTCTCAAACTACTTCAATTTTCACCCTGAGATTTTCAGCTAAACAAATAATAAACATAAACTGAACAGAACCCACAAGGCACAAATAAACAAATGGTCAAAATTATAGCCAAAAAAAATAAGTTATTAAATTTAGCTTTAATGATGTATTTGATGTTGGAACTGCCAAACAAAACAAGTCTTAATATGATGATATGAATATGAAAATGTTATTTTTGTTTCCCATTTGTTCAAATGAGCATTGTTTTGTATTTTATGTGGGTTTTCTCCCCACATAAAGTCGCAGCTCTGAAACTTAAATTACAGTTGGGATCATCAGTACATACATGTGTACTTGTACGGATTGTCCGTAAGTTATAAGGATTTTACGTCATTTTGCAGCTATACGGACGTATAGAGCAATCTCACGGATTTTTTTCAAGTCTTAACGGATTTTTTCAAAACCTCATTTTCAAATTGATCTAACATGTCAGAGCCTGTAGGACGATTTAAAAAACAATAAATAACATCGAACAGCCATCTTCCAACCTGTTCTGCCGCTAGAAATAATTTTAGAACTTTTTCCGCTCTCCTATTCCTCCTGCTTCGCAGCGGGTGCTTTCATGTCCGCAGACTTTTATACAGGTAAACGTCCGAAGAGGTTGACATGTATGTCAGTAATCATTGTATTTATAACTTCTTAATTCAGGTCATAGAGTATTTAGAAAATATGCATTAATTATTAAAGCCAAACAAAATATCAAACTTCTGCTCCAAACATTTTTTCTAAACCTCACTAATGCTTCATTCACCCTGGCTTTTTTTTGCAGTCAAACATTTATTGTTAAATGTTTTTTTTAGACTAATAATAAAACCTGGATTGGGGGTGGGGGGTCTGTATTACGCATTTTTAGGCACATAGTTCAATTCTATGCCACGACCAAATAATTATATTACCTTCAGTTGTTATGAAGATGCTGTATATATCAAAAATAAGTTTTAATTTGCATCATAACCTATCAAAATGCATGAAATTGGCCTCGGTCTGTTTAATAACCTCCCACCATTTCTGACGCTCCCACTTCTGCATGTTTTCAAACAAAGCACCAGGAGAGGGATGCTCTGTGGGGTGGGAGCTCGGCTGCAGACTGATCTCCAGGGAGGAGCTTTGTACCAATGGGCAGGAGTTTGTACCAGCCAGCGTTTATACAGCTCCACGTGGCTACCAGAAGATTCAAGGATTTCTCAAACATGCAGGAATGAGTCAAGGCAATACTGATGAGGAAATGATATAATATGAAGCTCAAAAAGTTGTTGTTGCATAATTTCACCCCTTTTTAAAAGTCCGAAAAGACAGGAGGTCCATCCTGAAACGGCAATATGCAGCTTTTGCTGCCGTCTTTTAGATTCTGTGTAGTATTTATTTGTCAACGTTTTGTATTATTTATTACCGAATGAGTCCAATAATAAGGTAAACCTGTAAAATAATTGTCAGAGTTGTCGAATGCACTCTGCTTTGTTACTTATCTTTGCCCAAAATATCTCCATGTGGAAAGACGCGTCATTAAAAACACTAAAAATGTTATTAAATTAGGAAACTAAAAACCCACTGAGGTCAAATTTAAAGCAGGAAAGTGTCTGGAGTGTTAGAAGTTTGTGAGGCCTTGTGAATGAAATTAAATTTATATTATATAAGAAGAAATATTATGAGTTAGTAAAGAAAATTACCACTAGCTGACAGTAACTAATTGCTATCTTCAAACATTATGCAATAGAATTTATTTATTTATTTATTTTGTACTTTCAGTTAATCCTAACCAATAGAAATCCTAATCAAAACTGAAAAACTGAGTTGTGATTAAGCCAAAACAACCCAGTACCTTTTCTCATGCTAGTTAAGCTTCTCTTTATTCTTTCTTTTTCTCTTTCTCAGGGCAGGAGCTAACTTTAAATGCGCATCATGTATATTACATGTATGGAACAACTCACACAGATTGTTATATTTAATTTAAAGGCACTTTTTTGGGGGGGTGCATTGGGTTTGCATTTGGTGGTGTCTCGATCCACCTTTTTTTATTCCCTTCTAGGAGGTGGGGAAGTTTGACTTGAATAAGTGAACTGTGTAGATATTTTATTTTTTGTTTGTTGTTTTTTATGCTTTTTGCCAAAGTGTGTCTTCCCACCAGTTTTACCACTGGGCTAATGTCTGTGAAGTAGTCCCCCACTTCCATGTAAATGTAGATTTATCTAAAGCAGCCTTTGTGTGACCTTCTTTCCTGTTGTTTATTTTTTTAAAGCATTGGGCTATCATCAGTGGGAGAGGAAGTACAGAGTTAAAGAAAATCCCTTAAACGCTTTCTTCCTGCTTTTTATCTGTCTGGTTACTTTTGAGCTGTTTGAAGTTCATGGACATGAGGTTTGCTTCGTGTCAGGATCAGAAGAGTGTAAAATAGAGCCTTCTTACACAACTCTATAAAATTTCCAACTTAAAGGAATAGTTCAGATCTTTTGAAATAAACAGAAATGGGAAATAAAGTATAAATCTTTCTGGATGGATGAGTTGACAGTTGATCATGAGAACCAAGACCAAAAAGGTTGTTGTTGACGTCCTAAAATGACTCCAATCTCAATAATTTCTTTGTGATTCATGCAAAAACTATTTTATAGACCTTAACATTGCTGTAAGTTTCACATTGCAAGGTTACGCCTGCAGATTCAATACCCTAGACTGACCATGGAAACAAAAATTGAAATACAAAACTGTCAGCAATGTGAAGGTGTATAAAACATTTTTTCACATAAACTGATATAAAATGTTAATAAATCTGAGTTGTTTAGGGTTGGCAGTGATCTCCTTTGTTTTGGCCTTGTATCCCATGAAAGTGATCCGATTCGAACTTTTTTGTTTTTTTCAAACTGAGGCCATTCAAAAAATATCTACAACAGGTAAGATGGTAACTGTTCATACTTTTCCACAGTACTCTATTTTAAACAGCAGCTCGTGAGCATGAAAATTGGTGGGGCGGACATTGTTTTCCTAAATCAATAAAAACACAATTTGCGGCATGTTTTCTGTAAAAAATATAGGCTATACTTTTAATCAGTTATTTGTGCACAAAGTTGTCTATTTTCTCCCTCACCGTCTCGTTAAAAAAAAAATGTTCGGACATAACAGCAAAAAGCCTCCCTCGCGAACTTATTTAGTTGTTGGAGAAATTGATCAGACAGGCAGCTACACAGCTTTCTGGATTAGATTTCCAAGAAAATTGTGAGTAGGCGTAATATTCTGCAATAAAGTGAAAGACGTCTTGTGAAATAATTTTAATAAAAGAAAAATAAAAATAAAACTGTGAACTATACATCCTCCATGGCCATAAGTAGGCCAATCTGATTAAACGGCCATTCGGAATCAAAATGTGTCATGTAAACACTTCATCTGATCGCGCATGTACACACACACACACACACACAAAAAAGCGCACATCACCTGTCGCTCAATCAGCCAGTGCAGTACCGTCTCCACCATTATTCAAACCTAGCACCATGTCATGGTGCTAGCATAAACTTACCTCAGTAATTTGCACACAATCGTCACAGATTAGATTAAAACTGTCCTACCTTCTTGGCAAAAAAAAAAAAAAGTCCTGTTCCTGTTTATGTCCTTAGTTCTTGGTGTTCAGTTCAAGCTTGCTCTCTGCTCCAAATCCATTTTCAAACAGAATATTTCCTCTGTCGGACACAAGTTTTGCTGAGTGATATTCCTGCGTTTTATGAGCTCACGTTAGGTTTACTGTTTGTATCAATGCGCTGAAAGCTGCAGAAAGTGTCCATAGGCCTGCATTTTTACCGCCCCAATGAGCCTCTAATCAGAGGAGTTGGTAATACCGATTATTGCCAGCAGGGGGAGTATATATTAACATGATAGGAACGCAGAGCGTCAGACTGTACCGCCCTATGACTGTAAATAAGTAAAAACCTGGGGTCAGATTTATAAAGGATTGTGTGGAAACCATACTAAAAATGAACGTACGGCCAAAAGGCGAAAATGGCGTACGCCAAAAAAAATTCAGATTTATAAAACCGTGCGTACGCATCTTTCTGCACACCTTTCCCTTTTAGATCACAGCTTCACCAAACCCAAAGCGTGACTTTTGCCGTCGTGCTGTTGAAATATCTCTTGTCGGGGAGGGGTCTATGGATCAGGGAGGGGTCTGTGGGTCAGGATCGTCTGAGGAGGAAGGAGATGAATGGATGCGTGAACTTTTATTTAAGATTTAAGTTTTTATTTCAAAGGTACTTATGGCTCAGCAGCAGAAGCATAAATAACACTGTTAAGAAAGCTAAAGTCTATCCAAAATCTAAGTCTGATTATGAAATGAAATTAAAAATCTGACAGTGATCATTACACAGTGTGGCTCTAATTCCTCACTTCACCATCTGTGTCGCAGTTTCCCGTCTCCAAAATGAGCGTACGCATGGGTCAGAGCTGGCGTGAGGCACCGCACATTTTCTCGTCAAGTTTGGATTTTATAAATCACAACCTCTGCGTGAAAAGTGGCGTACGCAAGTTTCTGGGCTCATATTGTGCGTACGCCAGTTTTGTAAATCCGACCCCTGAGCTTTAATCACTGAAAAACATTTTCAATTCAATTTAAAATTGTCAAAACAATTGAGAAGCACACAGAACAAAACAATAAATGGCAGGCTGCGTAAAAAAGCATTTTACATTGTTTATTAAGAGGAACTACTTTGTGGGGTGAATTAATATTTTTACCTGCCCTTTAAAGACGAGCAGCGGGTGATTTTAAAGGATCTGAACTATGGCTTTAAGCGTTGCATCTGACCATTAATGTGTTTGTGTATCCCCCGCGGGTTTGTTGTTTGGATTGTAGCTATGGGTTTGTTGCAATGGCATATAGTACAACACAGTAAACTTTAAGTGCCATTAAGTTTGCACATTAGCCTCGTTCACCTCCTCGGGTATGTGCTGTATTATCCAGTGTGTGCCCTAAACTTTAATTAAAGTAATAATAATAATAATAATAATTGGTGTTTAGTGTTTACCTATCCATTGCTTAGTACTTACATTGAGATCATTTCAGTTTTCTCCTTAGGTTATGTTTGTGTGTTTGTGTGTGAGTGTGTGTGAGAATGTGATGGAAAGTTGTAAGAAAGACACGTGTTCTTCAATGCCTTTTTTTTTTCTAAAATGGACTGATGCTGGTGTTTTTGTTTTTTTTTTAGAGTAATGTGTCTGTCACCTGTCGTCTGTTTAGCTTGTACATTCAGATATGAACCTAATAAACATGTCAAAAAGGAGAAGCACGGCTCTGTGTGTGTCTGTGTCACAGTCACGGCCTCCTGTTAAACAAACACACAGAGCAAACATAAAGACAGAGGGTGGGGTCTCCGTGTTTACCTCTGGGACAGGTGAACGGGGTGGATTGTGTTGCATCCTGGGTCATTTCTCCACATGTGAACTACACCCTCACATTATCTCCCTCTCTGCGAGCGTAAACCTGCCCGTTGCATACACCTAACTATGCTTCAGGCACAGGTAAAATGTTACGAGGGGGAGGGGTTTAAGACCCTCCCTTTTTGTGCTCCTAGACGTCTCCTAATAACTATTTTCATCCTCTAGTCTTATCTGTATAAAACTTGTGGGTGTGTGGTTTCAAACCGTGGCTTGTGTGTGTGTCATCACATTCCTCTGTTGCACACTTTCAGCTGCTCCGGCTTCCTTTTTATAGTTGTTCTCAATCTTTTGCATGCGTGTGTGTTTGTGTAAAGGCTGACAGCATTCACACTCTCGTTTTTATTTTTTATCTTTCCATACTTTATTTGCAAACCTAATGCTTCTTCAGGCTTTTTGATTTTTTTTTTAAGCCATTCAAATGTCAAAACTTTCAGCTCATTCAAGAGATGAGTGCTATGACATTTTGGCAGTGGTGGGCACAGTTCCACTAAAGCACTAAAGCACTAATGGGGGAACTGATTTCCTGATTAGTTCTTTAGGTCTTTTGCTAATTTTAAAATTTATTAGTGGATTAGCACTTGCTAAATTTAGAAGCACTAACTGAGGTCTATAAATGTTATTGATCATTGTTAACAGCTGAGGGTGAAAGTTGTCACATTTTGTTTATATATGTCACTTTTCCACCAGGTGACAATATATGAACTCATATATGGCTGTGGAATGTCAATGATGAGGATTAAGAGAGCAACATGGCAATATGTGACTCATGTTGTCTGTTGAAGAACGTTCATGGGTTGATTGGGTTATTTTAGTGCTTTAGAATTAGCTTTTGCTAAAAAAATTTGGTGCATTAGTGCTTTAAAATTAGGGGACCTAAATATCTGAGTTAGTGTTTTAGGGCTAGTGGAAATAATTTTTAGATTGGTGCTTCCACAACTGCATTTTGGGTTTTGTAATTTATAAATAATAATAAAAAACAAACAAAAAAAAAGCTTTAAACCAGGGCTAATCAACTAAATTGCTCCGGGGGCCATAGTTACTGCCAGTCAACAGCTGAGGGGCCGAACATCCAGCCATTAAATTTATTATGTAAATAAACCAAGTATTACAAAGATATGTTACCTTTGAAATAGTTTATTTTGCTGCATTTAATCATGAATGCAACATAGAGAACCCTATAAAAGCAGTGATAATTACACATTATCAAAAACAAAAAGAACACATTATGCCTCATATTTGACACAAATAATATTTTAACATCTCTGACTTGACAAATTATTAAACCAATTTTTTTTTCACTTTCATCATTTTATCTTCAACTGCTTGTAGTTTTAACTGTCTTGAGTGTTTATAGAAATGGTTTTTACCAGCTTCTAGCCAAGATTCTGACATTTCTGTAAATACCAAACATGTCTATGTTGAACTAAAAGAACTTGAGTGATTAAAGAAAAAATCAGGGGTTAGGGCTTAAGAGATGAATAAACCAATTGACTGGCCGAACTTTGGTCACTCGCGGGCCAGATGTGGCCCGCAGGCCGCCAGTTGAATAGCCCTGCTTTAAACATTTATTTTTCATTGAAATGCATTGAGATTTATACAGTTCTCGTATTCCAAATGTGGTTCAATATACTTACTTTGTTTTTGTCGTCTTATAGTTTTTAAGCTTCTGTTTAGCAGCTTTTAGAGCCGTGGAAGCTTTTTGTTATTTTTAGTTAGCGTTTTCCAACTTTTAGCTAGCATTTAGTTTTTTATATTTTTGCTTGTGTTCTGCTTCGTTTTTTAAATTTCAGGTTTAGTTTCCGCAGTCATTTAGCTCTTTGCATTCACAGAAAATTACATTTTTGTAGTTTTCTATTTTTTTTTTAACTTTTACACTCATAACCCACCTGTTTCTCATCTGCACCTGTCTGCTACCTCCGTGGAGAGCGTGTGTGTGTGTGTGTGTGTGTGTGTGTGTGTTGTGGGTGGAGAGGGAGGCGGAGTTGTGTGTTGTACTTTTATGGGTTGTGGAGAAACCTGCCTGTCTGCTTCCAGAGGAGAGAGGAGGAGCCTGCTGGGTGTGGGACTCCAGACAAAGGAGACATAAACACACTGACACTGGATGACTGGAGGAAAAAGAAAACAGAATGAGACGACTGTGAAGCTTGTTTTATTTTTTTATTTTGGTTGTAGTGGAGGTTTTAATCCTCATCTGGAGCTGCTCCATCTGTCATTTTGGGGAAACATTGTGAAAAAGGATCTGTGTGTGTAAAAGTGTGGCAGCTGAGCTGAGGTTGACATATGTTCCCCCACGGTGTGCCGGAGTGGGATGGAAAAGTGGGTCCGGCACAACAAACTGCTCAGCTCTTAGCTCCACGCCATGGGAGGCTGCCATAGCTACCCATCAGCTACGAAGGTCGACAGCAAGACTCCTCAGCCTTCTGACGTTCGCAACGAGAAACTGTAAGTTTCTTTTCTTTTTTTCCCTCCCTCCAGTCTCTTTTCCATTCAGTTTCCATCAGTTCTGGAAGTATTCAGGTGTTTCTGTGTTTAAATGGTGACTCTGATTAACAAAAAAAACCTTCTAGTTATTAATAACTAGAAGGTCTGGCTGCACATGGACCAGAGGAATGTCCTTCATGGATGTGTGTTGCATATTTGTCTGATGCCATCAGTGATTGTGAAATCCCTCTTCCACCAGCAACACATGTCGAGAAGCGGTTTGAACCAGCAGGAGGAAAATGTGTTTGAGTTTGCAAATGTTTGCTTTGGAATAACTTTTTTTCTCTCTCTCTCTTCTTTGCAGCCATGTTGGCAGAGCGGGAGAGGCCCCTTTAAAAAAAAAACTCAAATCAAATAAAAAAGAGCTGAAAATAGGGGAGCAGTGTGTACAGGGGAATTTTGTTTACACACAAACACAACAGTACACGGCACTCTGGGTTGTTTGTGTGCTGATAGCAGGCAGGAGGTGGTAACTGGGTTAACGGCGTGAATCATGGAGCTGAGCAGGATGTTGGCAGGAGAACTTCCTGCGGATGGTTAGGAAAGTTTGACACTCGTGTTTACATTCCCTCCTGTCACTGCTCTGCTCCAAGACAAAGACCTCCTGTTTAAACCGATAAACACATTTCTCTGCATGGCCACACATATTTACACCAGGAGAGGTGTGTGTGTGTGTGTGTGTGTGTGTGTGTGTGTGTGTGTGTGTGTGTGTGTGTGTGTGTGTGTGTGTGTGT